CCAGTATATTCCCAACTGGTTGGGGTCTGGGGGTCAGTTGTACGCAGACCTTACCCTTGTAATTATACAAGGAGGCTGTTTCCGTAACGACCCAAGGTGCATTGCGTCATTTGGTTTTTTTTTTCTAGAAACTTCACTAATAGAAGAAGCACTAGAATTTAATTGAGTCATTTTGATCTAGTCCATTATTAGCACTATGCCAACATAACTACTCGAAGCAAAGTTCGGCCCAATTCGATCAGATGACTGAAGCTTTTTGCAAAATGAACAATGCAGGAAGTGTTGATGTCCTGTAAAGAAAATCGTTCAGGCTATAAAATGATCTACTTGAAACAAGGCCTCATAATCAATAGCTTCACAGGGAAGCTCAAAATCGAAACAGCATACCTCCACAATGGTAGTAAAAAGATGCAAGAGCATAATTGCTCTGGGTCTATGATTTCTAGCATAAACTGCACCCGGGCTTGAAGTTAAGTTGTTTCGGGCTAGTTTAGCTCAATTTGCACTACCTTCAGATACAAAAATTAAAAACGGATATCCCAACCCTATTCACCCAATAAAAAAGAAAAAAAATTAATCCCATTACTAAATCGTTCCAGTTAAACATTTCATCATGCTTTGTCTACACCAACCGGAGTTAAGGTGTGAGATAGAACGGCGTCAGACCTCAGCCGCCTCTCCGGTTGGCAGCGCTGTTCGTCTGTCGCTCACAAATTATTTGTGGAGGTGAAGCTCGGCGAACAGTTCTTCTATTCTTCTTAAGTAGTGTAGTGTTTGGTTTGAAGGATTTAGAGGGGAGGGAGGTTAGGCGAGTGGATGGAGAATTTTTAGAGTGTGATTGTTTATGGATGGGATTAGTTTTTATTTGGTTTATTTTTTAATTACCGTTAGTTTTGAAAAAAAGGTGGTATAGTTAATTGTTAGTGGATGTATTAAAATAATATTTAAATAAAATAATTAAAGATGATTTGATGTAAAGTAGGAAAAAATGATTGGAAGTGATAGTTAGAATTATGTGAGTGGATGAATAGTGAATTAAAGTTGATGTGATGTGTAAGAATGATTGGTTAATATTATTTAATTATATTGATAATAATGAGGATAGTAGGGTTGAGTTAAATTTGAGTTTGAATTGAGTTTTTTAGAGCATCCACAATGCTTTGGGTCTAATTTTACTTATGTGGCATATAAATAGACTTAAGTCCTAAATGACACGGACAAACCCAAGTAAAAAAACTCAAAAGCTATTCAATGCAAAAATAAAATACTAGGTCTAGCATACATGACAACTAATAAAAATGTTCTAATATATTTCATTTATTAAAAGAAAAACTAAATGAGGAATAAATGATGAGTGTTTGGAGATAGGACGGGAAAGGATAAGGAAGGAAAGGAAGGCACAAAAGCAGGACAGGACGAGCAAAAGCGAAAGATAAGAGTGGCGAAGAGAGGTCAATTACATCAAACCTCCCTCGATGGAAGGAGTTCAGTCACTTGGTTACGAACTGGACCGGACGAAGCTTTAACTACAACCGAGGTTCGATGTAATTGACGAAGCCTGGGAGAGCTAGAGTTTTCACATAAACGCCTTGACTCGCCTATCCGAATCCTCTACTTTCCTTCTTCGTTCACCCCAAAAGCTCTGCCCTCCCTCTCTATCTATCCAAGGGATGGAAGGGCGGAGGCCTTTGGTGTCCCTTCCAGTCAAGTGTAAGAAATCTCTTGTTTCTTATTTCCTTGAAATGGAGATATATAAAAAAAGCATTCCAAGAAAACTACTGCGCGTTAGCGCAACGGCTTTCGCGCGTCTTGCTCAATCCCTTGCTTGTTTGAAGTCAAAGAGCTCAAAGAATGGATGAGACGAATCAATCCGGCAAAAATCCCTTTTCGATCGGGTTTTCACTTGATTTCTTCTGTGCAATACTCATCGATAGGGCCTCATCGGTAAGTGCTCATAGATCTCTTGTATTGTAACCCATGGTTATGGCATTGTCGAATCCCTTGCGAATATGGAACATTTTCGTTTCCAAGTGAAACCCTTATCTCCCAACTGATCTACCCAGTAATGTGATGAGTTCCAACCTCGAAGGCCCAATCCTTCGTCGTACTACATGAGTATGACTTGGCTACAAGGGAAAGAAAGCGCCCAAGAGATCGGGATTCTTAGAGTCAATTGGGCAGAAGTTATATTTTATTGGATTGCATTCTTGAGCCACTCACGAAGTCCATGGTTAGGCTTGTTCAGATCAGAGGGGAGGCAAGAATTTAGTAGCTTTAGGGCAGGTTATGAGGACATGGTCGGTGCTTTTATTGATTCCTTGGCACCAACAGGATCCCTGATTAATGTGCCGAGTGTGGAGAAGGGCTAGACGATCATGGGCAAAAAGCCAGAGGAAGTCGTTCACTCTAGGAGTAGTTTGGGCAAATCCACTTCCAGTCACTCGATTGGAGTCTTTTTCTGTTTTTTTATTAATCTTATCAATTTTTCTTAATAGATGGTTGGCTACAAAAGGATTTTTTTTTAGTGAACGTATCACAGTCTATACTCCTATATTTTTTTTGGAAAGACGAAGAAAGAAATTCGATTTTCGTGTTCCAACCACTGCTGGATGTGATTCCAAGAGCCGAACGAGAATAAATACCACACAGAAGAGTCAAGACCAGGCTCCCTAATGGAATGTTTAACCGATCCATTTCGGATCGACCGAATTGGTACGGAAGTTGTAACATGGGAAAACCACGGAAAACACGACTTATTTGAATAACCCGTCTCGTATTCACGGTCTTGATGAAGTAATGGCGGGTGAATTGATTGAACTTGAAGAAGGTACAATAGGCATTGCTCTTAATTTGGAATCAAATAATGTTGGTGTTGTATTAATGGGTGGTGGTTTGATGATACAAGAAGGAAGCTCTGTAAAAGCAACAGGAAGAATTGCTCAGATACCAGTGAGTGAGGCTTGTCGAAGCTCTTTGTGTCTGTAAACATTTCTGACCGCACGGAATCAGTTTTGTTTATTCTCTATTTTCTTTGGGTTGCTAACTCAACGGCAGAGTACTCGGCTTTTAAGTGCGGCTAGAATCTTTTATACATTTGGATTAAGTGAGGAATTCGTCCATACCGTTGGTAAAGTTTGAAAGACCGCGACTGATCCTGAAAAGGAATAAAAGGAAAAAATAGCATGTGGTATCAATGGAGAGTTTTGAGGATTCGAACCCTCAGTAAACAAAAGCCTACATAGCAGTTCCAATGCTACGCCTTGAACCGCTCGGCCATCTCTCGAGCTTCATACTAGCTACCTTCGCTTCGGGGAAGATGATTTTCGATCACAGTCAATATATGTGTTTTGTTTGAATGCAATTATACTATACGTTCCGATACCAGAGAATCTTATCCTCCCAGCAGCCGTTCCATAGCTTTCAAGTTCCGAGAAGAATTAGGAGAAATAACAGCTCCCATTTGTGGCGGCAACTCAATGGGGTGTGGAAGGAAGGCATGAAGGGGATCATGTGGATTTTAGAATGTACTACAAGTTTAATCATTTCGTTTGGTTCATTTTTTGACTGCTCTGCTCCCCCCCAAAAAAAGAGAGACTTTCTTACTAAACGAGAGCTTTTGTTGGTTGTTGACCAGCATGATCAAAAGAAAGAAATGCTTTCCCGCGAGAGACAGGTTGTACTTGGGTCTAAAATAGACCCAAGTGTTGACTATGTCTCTTTTTTTATTGCCACATAAGCTAGACTAGGTCCATTTTTAATTGCATTGGAGAACACTTTTTTATAAACTAT